TAATAATAATAATAATAATTGTATTGATGATAGCTCTTTGTTTTTTCTTTTTATAAATTCTTACCTTGAACATAGCAGTCTGAGATTGCCAGCACAGCATGATATTATTATATATGAGATAACTAAAGATTTTCTTCTCATATCTTTTAGACTTGGAACACCTGTTGGTATTAAAGGAAGACCTGTTCTTTTTTTGGAAAACAAAAGAGCACCAAAGCAAGTAGAGAGCTTTGAAGACTTAAGAGAAGAAGTATTCAGTATGCTTTCTCATCTTGGTCCTAATCTGTCTCATGATGCTATCTTATTTGCAAAAGTGGTACGCTTAGGAAAAGCATTTATGAAGGAGGTAAGCACAATTTATGTTCCACTCCACACAGTTCCACACAAATTTTTATAATCATTGGAGTGTTTATTATTTATAGTTAGATTGATTGAGAAATGCAAAAATGAATGCTTTGAGTTATCTCTTATTTCATCTAGGCCTTAGTAAATAGTAGCAGTTTTCTTTGGTTGCATTTGGATCCCCAGCACCAAACCATTGGCATATTGTAGAAATTCCCTTCAAGTCTTTCCTCTCTTAAATAAGTCATTGTATTATATTCTTTAAAAAATCATAAAAATTTGTTACTGATTTTTCTTTTATAATCTTCTTTCCCACTATGTCTCTCTCCCCACTCTCCCACCCTGGAAGCCATCCCTTATAATAAAGAATTTAAATAATAGTTTGACAATCAAGTCTAAGAACGTATATAATATTTCCTTTTATGATACTCCACACTTACAAAAGGGAAGATTCTTTATTTCTTTCTAAGAGTCTGAACTTGTTCATTTAATTTAGTTTAGTTTTATTTGGTTTTGATTCGATTTGATTTGATTTTTTGCTTTTAGACTGTTGTAGTAATTCTCTGTATTTATTTGGTATAGTTTATATCTTTCTGATGATTCTATGTTCTTCATAGTTTCCTTTATTAGATTATGTAATGTTCTATGACATTCCTATAACACAATTTATATAGATGTTTTGCAGTCATCAGGCAT